TGTCACGGTCTGTGACGGGTACCTGGATTCTCTGTCACGGTCTGTGATGGGTACCAGAATTCTCTGTCACGGTCTGTGACGAGTACCTGGACTCTCTGTCACGGTCTGTGATGGGTACCTGGATTCTCTGTCACGGTCTGTGATGGGTACCTGGATTCTCTGTCACGGTCTGTGATGGGTACCCGGGGTTCTCTGTCACGGTCTGTGATGGGTACCCAAATTCTCTGTCACGGTCTGTGATGGGTACCCAGGGTTCTCTGTCACGGTCTGTGACGGGTACCTGGATTCTCTGTCACGGTCTGTGACGGGTACCTGAATTCTCTGTCACGGTCTGTGGGGGGGGAGGGGGGGGTGGGTGCAAAATTTCTACCCTATACACTTCAACACTCCTTTCAGATCGTGTTTCACAAAAGAATCAGCTTGCATAGCTATTCGGATGTTTTGTTCGATAGTTGAGGACCCTGATATCATTCAAATCGAAAAGGCTTAGAAAATAAGCAACCATTTGTGAATATGTAGTGTGAAATATGCTCATTGGATTCCACGTGAGTAGACTACTAAAATTCATCTCTAAAAAAGTATTCTAACTATTCTTTCTTCTAGTATTAAGGCATCTTTATATTCATATATAATAATAGCATCAAATTCGGTAATAAAATAGATGTCCCAAAGCCTTTTGTTAAATAAAATTTAGAACAAATATAAAAAGCATGCTTAAATGGTCAACCTGTAGCTAAATTTCTCTTATACTGACAGTAAAAATAAAATTTGTTCTTGAGCTAAGTCTTCAATGAATGCAATGTAAATATAAGCAATTTCATCTCCCTTCCAAAACGTAATATTTTAGTAAAACTTCTAATAAACTATTCTCTAACGGAGAAATTATAAACAAGATTGTAACATGATTAACGATCTTCTCTACATTTAGAAATTAGTGTTTTTTCAATATAATATTTTATTAATATTAGAAAATATGAAATAACCATTGTTTTCCTTATTTTGCTTCGTCTGTCGCTTGCCCTCGACCAATCTCAAAATTAGTACGACACAACCTAATGAAGTTAAAGCAAATCATAATTAAACATAAGAGAAATTGCATTGATTTGTACTTTACACATTGAACCCTTCTTTTTATTCGATTATAGAACAAAGCTAGAAAGTGACTGAAGACAAGACAAAAGTATCAGATCCATGATTTATGTTCTTGTGAAAGTTATATGAAAACATATTGTTCATATGTCTTATAAATGACATTAATTTGTTAACATGTGGACTTAAGTTGCAGTTTTCTGTTTGTTTTAAAAGCCTATAATCTTTAGAAATAAACCAACTGTAATTCTCACTTAAGAATAGAAATTTCTGCCATTCATTCCTCCTGTAATTTTTGACATCCACGATAGCTACAATATAATTCTTACTTTAGCGAAACTCAACCAAAAAAGGAAAAAAAAAGACATATGGTAATTGTCTAATATATTTATTTTGTTTCCGATTTGTTAATATTGTATTCTCTTTTATATTCCGAAGAATAAGATCAACAGTAAAACGCACAAATAACATTCCACTATTTATGAAGCACGATCTGGCTTCACATTTCATGGAACTGTTTACACAGGAACAATTTTGAAAAATTCAATACGCAATTATTAATTAGATCAGTGTTTTGCTGTTTAATAAAAATGTTCAAAGCTGAGCATGAGAAAGAATATGAAAAAAATAAGGTTGAAATCCACATATATCCTTTTGCGAAGTTTTTGAGATGTCAATCAGAAAATTGATGAAGGTATCAGAAAAGTTGAAAACCTTAGGAACTCTTTTAAGGGTTAACACAAAATTCGCAAACCTATTTTGATTTCCAGTGATTCTATTTTTAAATTGGGTATTTTCGCAAACCCAACTCGGTATTCTATGATACCCTTTTTCAGATTGGGTATTTTCGCAAACCCATCTCGGTATCCTATGATACCCTTTTTCACATTGGGTATTTTCGGAAACCATTTAGGAAATGAAAAGGTATTTTCGCATACTCTTTCGGGTACCAATCCAGCTTTACTACTAATATGGGTTTTCGACAATACCTTTCCGATTTTCGAGAAACTTATTGGGTTTCCGAAAGCAAGAAAAAGGTATTCTAGAATACTTTTAGAGTGTTCAGTTGAGTATTGTCGGAAACCCTTGAGTTTCCGAACGTTCGGAAACCCAATGGGTATTTTCAGAAACGCTTCCAAACTTCGGAAACCCACTCGGAAACGGAAAAGGGTTTCCGAGTAGGTTTCCGAACCCCTTTGGGTTTCCTAGGATACGGAAATTTTTTAGAGTGTAATTATGGATACCTGCTTTATATCAAAATATAGTTTTAAACATAAACTACTGTGCAAGTGAAGCGGTAACCGGTTCAGACCGGTTACCGGTTCATAGCGGTTACCAGTTCACCGATTACCGGTGCATACCGGTTACCGGCTCATACCGGTTATCGGTTCACCGGTTACTGGTTCACCGGTTACCGATAGACCGGTTATCGATTAGGCCGGTTATCGTCACCGTTGCACCCCCTACTGGTCATCAATCATTTGATCTTTAATTTATTACATGAATAATATATCCCTCTTTCTTATCAGACTATCATAAACTCATCTTAACCTATTAAAGAGCTAATACGACTCATATCATGGAAATAATTGATTATTAATTCTATGATATAACTCGTATTAGTGCTCTAATAGGTTGTGATGATTTTATTATAATATTATAAGAAAGAGGGAGATATTATGCATGTAATAAATTAAAGATTAAATGATTGATGACCCAGTCATGACTGGTACCCAGTTCACCAGTCATGACTGGAACTGGTGCATACCTAGTTCCTAGGAACGGAACGCTGAGGAACGGGGCACGTTAACATTCCTAATTTTTATGAAATTGGCTTTCCTTCGGTGAATTAGTAAAATTTCTGTTAAAAGCGAAAGAAACGTATATTGCGTTCCCATTCCTAGGAACGGAACGCTGAGGAACGCCACCCCGTTCCCCGTTCCTAGGAACGGAACGCAAAGTTGACACCCCTAGACGTGATTGAGTCATAGAACTTCGAAGTGTATTTTTCACTCGATTTAATGCACTAAATGCTCTTTCAGAAGTTGCTGTAGTTATTGGAATAGTTAAATAAAGTCGAATTAATTTATCAAATTCTTGAAACATTTGTTGTCCAATTTCACAAACTGTAGAAATTTTGGTAATTAGTTTTATTTTCATTTGATTTGTGTTAATAACAACTTTAAAAAAGTCTGAAATCATAAATGCTTCAGATTTTAATCTTTCAATATCAATATCATCATGACAAAAATCCATAATTGTTTTAATGTAGTCATTGGAACCATCAGGTGACTTATTAGATATATTAAGAATAAAATTTTCAACTTCACATAACATTTTAAAATTCTTTTGTGTAAATCGAGTTTGAAGCATGTTAATAATTATTTCTAATGTTTCAACATATTGTTTCTGATAAAAATCTTCACAACTTGCATAATTTACGGGAATTGTATTTGATTCATATCGTCGTGGTGGTCTTCGAAGTCGAGGTAGAATAGGTTTTTCTGTTAAACCTTCATTATCTTGAACTACTTGATTATAAAACAATTCAAAATTAATATCATATGAAAAAGAAGAAATGATAGTTTCAACAGATGTATTTGATCGTTTACAGAGTTTATTTTTTACCTTGAATACGTCGAAAATGATAAATAATTGCTTCAGCAGCACAAAAAACGTCTTGTAAACAGCAATCAGAACTTTGCAATGCACATGATAGCTTTTCTGTATCTGTAAATATTAAGTGACCTAGTTTTAATCCAAAAGAAAAATAGTCGAATTTGTTCATCTGTTCATATAAACCATTTGCTTTTATACCAGGACCATCTTATTCTTCACTTATTGTGTACAAGGCTTCTTGAACTAAAATTCAATTTTAATTTTAGATTTTCGAATGTTTTTTTAATCTATTTAAATACTATTCAAGCTTTAACATAAGTGCTGGTGTATTTAAAATAACATTTCTTTCTATCGATGTATGAAGTTTTTAAAAGCTAGCTAACGAAAAATAACACTCCTCATTCCAACAAAGAGATTATCGCATCACTAAGGATACTATTCATACTTAGCCGAATGTTTTCCTTGCAAAACTTATGTATCAAAAGAAACGAGAAGATGGGCAGAAAATATTGATCGTTTTAAGATCATCTCGCTAATAGTTTTGAAGCTTTCTTCAAAACCAAGTGTTTTCATGATTATGTTTCGCCATATATTATGTGGTAAGCATTACGAAAATGACACCGCATCTTTTTTAATATAAGCAAATATTTCTTTACCTTGTTCATAGATTTTTAATAATGAACCATATGATTCAGCGTGCATAGTCCTTCTAGTTGGACATAATGCCGTAAGATTTGTATAAGATAACAATATTTGATAAAATATTTCTTTCAAAATAATAAGACGTTTCGGTGATCGACGTATAAAATCAATAATATCTTTTACATAAAGTATGCAGTTACCAATAGAAGCACATTGATCTGTTAAATCATGTACGACTAAATCTAAACAATGTGCAACACAGTAGATATAAATAGCTTTTGAATATTGCTTCAAAATTATTGATGATACACCACCGTATATTCCAGGCATGTTTGATGCCTCATCGTAACTTTGATCGCGACCATTAATTATGTCTAAGCCACATGGAGTTATAACATCACAAAT